GTAGAGGAAGAATGAGGAAGAGAGGAAGGTAGGAAGGAAGGAAGGAAGGAAGGAAGGAAGGAAGGAAGGAAGGAAGGAAGGAAGGAAGGAAGGAAGGAAGGAAGGAAGGAAGGAAGGAAGGAAGGAAGGAAGGAAGGAAGGAAAGACGGAAGGACGGAAGGACGAAAGGGGTGCCGGCGTGATTGCATGGACTGTGAGCATACCTGCCGGGCAGCTGGCGCACAGCGCGCTCAAAGAGCGAGAAGCGAACGGCGGGAGAGGCAGACTTTTTTCGCTCGAGGTAGGCGAGCCAGTCTTTGACCTAGAAAGCACAACGCGACAAGGAGGGATAAACAACATGACAGGTCGAGTGAAGGCGTCCAGAAAGTGCAGATCTGAGACGAACTGGCGCATCTCCCGCGCGCGGAAGTTTGAATGCTCTTGTCTTCTTTTTCTTTTTCTTTTTCTTTGACTATTCGTGGGGCGTACCGAGTAGGGATTGCGCAGAATGGCCTCTTCATACACAAGATCATCATCCTGGGAATCAAGGGCGATAATGCAGACCGAGGTCAAGGGGAGGGCGGACGTCAAAGGGGAAGCAACGAACGATGCCAGAGAACGATCGACAACGCTCGCGATGCACCATCGCAAGAGGCAATGCATCGTGCCCACATTCGAAAACCAAAAAGCACAGTACACCGCACCTCGAGCAACAGATTGGCTGCACTGATGTTCTCTGCCGAAGCCTTCACCGCCGCCGCTGCCGCCGCCGCTGCCGCTGCCTCTGCCGACGCCGACGCCGAGGCAGTGGCATCGACTGCCGTTGTGGTGGTCGTCGCCACCATCTCTCTCGTGTTCGTGTGTGAGAGAGAGAGAGAGAGAGAAAAAAATTAGCTCGCACACACTGGTCTCCGTGAGTCTCTCAGTCTCTTTGAGTCTCCTGTTGATTTCAGTCTCCTTCAATCTCCCAGTCTTCGACGGTGCTGGGAAAAGTTGACAGGCCAATATTAGCACCAGACTTTGTAAAGACGTTTATAAACTTATTGCAGCATGCGTTGATTGTTGTGTGTTATTAGCTGATACTTTTTGCATCACTTTATAGGGTTTTTGAATCACCTCTGCTCGTAACCAGCGCGACAACTCGAATGTGACGTAATACCGCTCGATGTCCCAAATGTGGCCTGAACGAGCGCGATCGTCAAAAGGGCAGCGGCATCAACGCACAGCACAGCACAGCACAGCACAGCACAGCACAGGCAGGCATGCAGACACCCGTGACCGCACACAACACAACAGCTGTAATACCAATGAGTTCAAGATCAGCAAAGCAGGCAGCAACAGGATCACCCAGTTGGTGGTGCACAAACTCTCAAACTCTCAAACTCTCTCTTTCTCTCTTTCTCTCTCTCTCTCTCTCTCTCTCTCTCTCTCTCTCTCTCTCTCTCTCTCTCTCTCTCTCATACTCTCTCTCTCTCATACTCTCTCTCTCTCTCTCTCACACTCTCTCAAACTCTCTCAAACTCTCTCAAACTCTCTCAAACTCTCTCACACTCTCTCAAACTCTCTCTCTCTCTCTCTCTCTCAAACTCTCTCAAACTCTCTCAAACTCTCTCAAACTCTCTCAAACTCTCTCTCTCTCTTTCTCTTCTCTCTCACAACAAAGTTGGCGCATTTTTTTATTTTATTTTCTTGCAACTCGCCTGGCACGTATCTTCCTCCCTCCCTTTTCGGCCTGCTGTATAGCTGCGAGACTTGCCGACTTTGTTGCGGCACACAGGTACCTTTCGGGCCGGCCTTCCCACAGGATGGCAGTGCCCAAAGTGGACGTGCTGGAGCACGATCTCACTGATGACTACGAAGTCGAATGGGACGTGCCTCTGGGCACCGGCATCAATGGCGCTGTCTAGTGAGTGAGCCCCCCCAGCAGCTTGTTGCATAACCTGTGGATCTTTTGGCCTTGACTCACCTGGTCTCGTCTTCTGTGCTTTTGAATGTTGCTAGTCGTTGTTTGCGCCGCGCAGACCAAAGCCCCTTTGCCCTCAAGCTTCTACCGGATACAGACGAGGGTTGGCGCGAGGTACACGTTTTTCCACCATGGCAGTCGCCAGTGTTTCTTTGATCAAGTTTGGGCAGGAGAAGTGGACAGGAAAAAATGAAAGCCCAAGTTGGCTTTGCTGTGCAAGCGCCCGTGCCTGGACTCATAGCCTGCTTGACACTTGAGTTCCTAGGCGAGCATTCAGCGCTTGTTGAGTGGTCATCCCAACATCGTTACCCTTGAGGCTGTCTACCTCAACCACATTGCTAGTCCAGAAACGGGTCAGACAACGTCGGGGCTAGCAAATCTGCATAGTCTGCATGCCCGGCGGCTGACACCCCCACCCCCGCCTTGCCTTCGCATCCAATAGGCGTGTTCAAGTCCCAGTTGGTCATGATCATGGAAATGTGCGATGGTGGCGAGCTCTTTGACCGAATTACGGCACAAAAGACCTTTTCCGAGAAGGAAGCCAGCATCATCATGCGCCAGGTTTGCTGCGCTTCCCCCGTGTCATGCGCCTACTTGACCTCAAAGGGTGCTTTTTTTCTCTCTCTCTCTGTATCCTCTGCCTGCCTGCCTGTCTGCCCGCCCGCCCACATGCCCGTTTGCCCGTCGTTTTGGCGGGTTGTGTGTAAAACCATTGGTGCTCGTGCGTTCATGTGACCCTTGATTGCTCCATGTCGCGACTCGGGTGGTCGGTGCGCAGATTGCCGATGTGATTTATCATCTGCATTCGCAAAACATTTCACACCGAGATATCAAGCCCGAAAACTTTTTGTTCGACAGCAAGGTGCGCCCTCTCACACAGGTTGCCCAGAACAAGGACGATAATTTGCGCTCGAGTTGTGGAGACTTGGGTTTTTCTGAGCAAAGAGGAGGGCCTGAGCCCAAGCTGACGACGCTCACGGCGCTTGATCTGCTGTGTGGATGACATGTTTGGTTCTGACAGCTGCCCAATGCCCGGCTCAAGCTTTGTGACTTTGGCTTTTCCAAGGTGGACGAACGGTTGACCACACCCGTGTTCTCGACATTTTATGTCTCCCCCCAGGTCCGGACTCGGTCCAGATCAACCGAATTGACCCGCAGACCACTCGCCGCCGCCCTGCATTCGCCAACAATCTGTGGTGATGACGATGGTGGTGATGTGACGACCTGACAGGTGCTCGAAGCACACGTCAATCAACGCAAGAAGCGACTGGGGCTCCTGCCCAAGGAATACTGCACCGTCTATGGTTCGTGCTTGGTCATTCCACCATCTCTTGCCGACACGCTGATGAGCCATGAGCCTCGGACCTCAATGCTTGCACGGCCGCGCTTTGCAGATAAAGCATGTGACATGTGGAGCATTGGCGTTGTTCTCTTCATCCTTTTGGGTGGATACCCACCTTTCCGCTCCGAGGTGAGTTTTTTGGGGGCGATGAGTGCTGCTTTATACATACGCTTGGCGTTTAGAAGACCATAACCGAGTGCAATGCTGCCTTGTTCCGTGCTCTACCGCTCATCCTTACCCGGCCTTGTGCATGAGCAAACAGGTACCGGGGGTGGCCATGACCACGCGCATGAAGCAGCGCATCCGATCCGGCACCTACACTTTTCACGAAAAGTATTGGGCTAACATCTCACCGGATGCCAAGGATGTGCGTTCGTGTGGGCACCTCTTATTGGCGGCTGTTGCGTTGCTGTTGTCTTTGCAACAGCATCGTGTTTGTGTCTTGGACCACTCACCCGCAATGTTCCCACTCCACTGGGCTCCTTTGATGCGGTTGTCGCGCTACCTAGCTGGTGGCCGCCCTGCTTGAAGTAGACCCCTTGCGCCGGCTGAATGCTCAGCAGCTTCGCCAACACGTCTGGGTCAGCGGCAACGATGTACCGGTATGGTCTTGGCTCCACCTTTAATGTGGTTGGAAGGGAGCTAGCTCAAACACGCACTCATCACAACATTGGCCCTGCACTGCCCATCATCGCCTACGCCCGCTTACATTGTGTGCCGCAAACCACAGGCGACGCCTCTGTCCACGCCGCACACGCTCAAGGCCCAGGAGCGCTCTGAACGCGCCTCAGACACGGAGGCACTCAATCAGGTCAGGCGGTTGACGCACGTGCCACCTCGACCAGATATCCTCGTAGCTCATTTTCAACTTGCATTTCAGGAGCTGAGTGAGATGCGTCTCAAGCCCACCCCGGCACTGCAACCCGTCGAGCACCTTCAAGCCAGGTTTGTAACACACATTTCCGCACGCCAGCGGTTCGATCAGAAAATTCTGGCTTGCGCACTCACTTGGTGAACCTTGATGGACGGCTTGCTCTGCTTGAATAGCAATGTTTTGTTGGCCCGTCGCCAACAGCGCGAAGCCAGCCAGGCTGCGAGTTCGCTGACTCACCAACATCAAAAAATGCAACAGAACGACCCAAACACACAGTAATACAACTCTTGCGGTTGCATTTCTAATGGCACTATGGCCCGTGTGTCCAAGATGAAGATGTGGGGCGCCTGGGCGGATCGGCTGAGCCGTCGCCTTTGCCTTTGTAGCATAGTTTTTAACAGTTTTCCTCGATTTTTTTTTGATTTGTGGGTTGTTATTTCGAGTGTTTAAACCATCGCCATCTCTGGTCAAATTGCACGATCAGACTTGGCCCCAGACTTGTGTTCTCAAAAGATCCTGGCTTTAATATATTCTAGCATCACCACTAGGCATTGACTGCAGTAGGGAGTGCTCGAGCCCGAGTACAAGGTCTTTTATGTAGCGGATAAATGAGAGGAAAATGACCCACCGTGGTGGATTATCTTCACATTCGCTAAACTGACAATTTCGAGCAGACGCCAACACATAGCCATGTCGATGGGTACACGTCTCGCATTTGAATGCGATTGTGTTGCGGGGAAGAGCACGGCCAATGCAACTGCCTTCAAGGGTTGCACGTCCGTTAGTGCCGTCAACTACTGGCTTCAGTTGCACAAGAGCGGCACTTTCCAAGCACGAGCCGAGTCACTCGGCAACTTGGCAAACTTTGCGACTCGCGTCCGCAATCTCCCACGTTAGCGTCAAATCTGTGCTTCCACACATTTTTTGAGCACTCCCACTGCTTCCGCACACTCAGTCTCGGTCACTATGGGTCTTTCCAACCCCCCCCCCGCTGCAGCTCGAACCCAGCTCTTGAAAAGACGTTAACATAGGAACTTTGACTGTACCGTAACAAGAAAAGCATGACATCCTCTTTGATGTTAATACCCTCGGGATGTATTTTACTTTTCTTGGAAGGGTGGTCAAGGCGCACCCGGAGAACGAGTCGTGGCGGTGGCCGCGGCGTGCGGAAAGTGCAGTGATGGCGGCTTCGGGTGCGGTGTCGGGCGTGGTGGCGGTGGAGGATGGGGCTGTTGGAAAGGTGGTTGAGCAGCTTGTGAAGAAGCGGGAGTTGTTGCGGCCCGAGGCACCCTCGGGTATGCCTTTGCGCTTTGACAGCGCCGAGCAGGTTTGTGATGAAAGATGCGGACTTGCCAGCGGGTGAGCGGCCACGCGCCCAAATCCAGGAACAGCACACTGACTCGCAGGCGCGTGGCGTGATGGGCACTTAGGAGGCCAATTTTCATGCACTGATGGCAGCCTTGAGCGCGTGCGCCATGGGCTACGATGCGCTCCTGCAAGCCCACACTGGTCGAGGTAAGGGGGCTCACTCCTCACAGCCGATGCTGCGCCGGTCACTTGCTGGCGGTTTAAAACGCCCATTGACGTTCCATTCTTTCTTTAGGTCTCCGTGAACTTGTCCTCTTTGGTGTCATGGGTCTCTACATATCGGGACAGCAGCTCACGACCTCGGCCCTAGCGGAGCTTACCCTGGAAAACGTCAGGTAAGAGCTATGTGCGGGTGCTTTGGTCCATCATATTTTTTTTTTTGTCAAGTTCCGATATCGCGTATTGACCAGCGATGGCTTTTCCTGTTGATCATATGGACGGTCTCGGGCTGCCAGCGAGCTTTTTCAGTTACCACTCCGCGACGAGGCCGGCGCCACCACTGTCATGCCGGCTGTTCAGTCTGTGCCCCCTCATCCCTTGGCGTACGTTGAGCGGAGCATGTCGCGCCTTGGCTTTGCCGACCAGACCCGTGTCTGTCTGATGCAAACCAAATTTGTGTAGCCCGCTAGCACAGCGGCTTTTGGAGGTGCTTCATGAACTGGCCGACGGGTGCCACCGTGCGGGGTGTGCCTCGCTTGGGGCGTGGTTGCTTCATCACTTCCCAGGGACTACGGCAAGTGAACGCGTGCAAGCACTCAAAACGACATTTCCAGCCACCTTTGCAGACTCGGTGCGAGTTCCCCCTCCGCGGGGATGGTGATGACTGACGGTGCGCTCTTTGCTTTTGAGCGATTCAAGTTTTCGTTGCACTCATCTCTGCCCACATGTCGGTGTAGTTGGAACTGGACCGTGAGCCGCTGCAACACGTGGATGCGTTACCTTCAGGGATATTGAATGATGATGCCGATGCCGTGGCGCTGGACGCCGGAGCTCACCTTCTGATTGATCTTCTTTGGCGTCGCTTTCATGAGCACAAGGATAAGGCCTTGCAAAAGGCCTTTGCTCTGGACACGCGCCATCAGCTCTTCTGCACAGTGGTTGGTCTGCTGGTTGCGCTCCACTCTTTGTGGCCACTTTGCCCCCAAGCGAGCCTTGTACTCTGAAGCGCCGCTCTGGCATTGCTGACTGGTCCCTCACATGGCTAGGATGACGACTTGGTCTTTCATTTGATCCGCCTTGGAGTGCTTTCCGTGCCCAGCAAGAGCGCAGACTTGGATCCGCGGGCCCTGCGCCACGGAGCGCTGGCGGCCCTTTTGAAGTTACACCAGGCACTAGCGGTTTGTAGCACAACGCATCACTTCTTTTGTCGTGGTTGGCGTCGGCGCCCGTTCTCATTGTCCAGGGTCTTGTGCTCTCGCTGCCCTGCTCAGGATCAAGAGGTCAAGTGTTGCTGGCGCGACATGGATCAGGCTTTGCGAGCCGTGCAGTTGCCCCACTGCAACCACAGCCACAGCCACGGCGACGAGGCCGACGGCCATGGTCACGGCCACAGCCACGGTCATGGTCACAGCCACTCTTGACAAGCCCATTGCCGCCAAGAGAGCATGTACCATAAGAGGCCGAGTTGAAAGGGAATTTCGGAGAAATTAATGACAACAACCTTGGCTCTTCGTCTCGAACCCAAGCTTTCTCAACTTGCTCACTTTCATGCATGCCTTGCCAGCGCCCTACACACCGCACCGCACAACACAGCACAGCACAGCACCGCACAGCACCGCACAGCACCGCACAGCACAGCACCGCACCGCACCGCACAACACAGCACAGCACAGCACATATGACCGCACCGCATAGGAACACCCAGGAACAGGAGATCAGGAAAGAAGAGAACCCTTAGTAAGAAGCACACCTTTTTGTTGTATGGAGCTTGCTGACAAAACACAATCGTGTGTGTGTGTGTGTGTGTGTAAGTGTGTGTGTGTGTGTGTGTGATGTGGGCGGCGCGCGATTTTTTTTCGTCTCTCTCTTCATTTTTTTTTTTTAAATCGGGTGGTTGGGAGTGAGCGACTTCTCTTGATCTTAAGGGCATCGTCTTGGATCGGTGGCTAGGGGTGTGGCTGCGGGTACTGGTGCTGTTGTCCTTTTCCGGTGTTTGTTGGTCCTGATTGGGTCCGCGTTGAAGGGGGTTGGGGCACTGCTGATCGCGAGTTGGGCCGGCCCTGGCCGAGGCAAGCTCGGCATGGCTGCGTCCACCGTCAATCGATGGACGCTGATGCTGCGGGCTGCGGACATGGATGGATTTTACGATGCTGCCGACCAACTGCGAAGCAAGCTGCTCCAGCACGCGCTCATCAAGGATCGCTCCTACCACCTCAAAGTCCGGACCCTACCGCTTGCTTGTGCCACAGCCCATCTGGCTGTGATGGTGGGTTTCTCAATGCGCGCCATGCCACGTCTCCCACTCCTCGCAGAAGTACCCCCAGTGTTTCAAGGGCAACGAACTCGTTGATTACCTCGTGTACAGCGAGGAATGCTCCACCCGCGCCGAGGCCACTATGCTCGGCTCGTCCTTCATCATGTTTGGTTGGTGCTCATCCGTACCGATATCACGCTGTCAGGAAAACTTGGGTACGGGATCAAGCAACATGGTCGGCCCAGCGGTTTGCTCACCGCGTACTGGGTCTCGCAGGCGTGATGCACCACGTGGTTGATGATCACCTTTTCAAGGACGAAGGCCTATTCTATCGCTTTCGCCGGGACGACGACACATTTCTAGGTCAGGCCGATCCGCTGCGCCGGTCATTTTTGTTCGTTGCTCGATTGGTGGAGTCAGGTGGCTCGGCACTGCTTCAGCCACCTACAGCCTCACATGAACTTTGCTAAACACGATACCTCATCCTTAGCCGATAAACGCTCTTATCGGATCTTAATTCACAAAGCCATGCACATTCATGCCAGCCTACACGCGAGTGGCATCATGATCAAGGATCGGGATTACGGCGCCCGCACCTTTCGACGTTGCTTCATTGGCCGTGAACTCGTGCCTTGGCTCATTGTGCAGGAGCTGTGCCGGGACAAAGAGGATGCTCTGGCACTCGGCAGCCTCTTGCTGCAGCAAGGCTTTATACGACACGTAAGATTCCGTCTCATCGAGTTTCGACCGACCTCCAGATCCTCTCGCACGCCTTCGCTTCAAGTCGATCCAGGGGCGCACGGTCGGCTCCTAAATGTTTTCTTTCCATGCCTTTATCATCTCATTGTGCCTTTTTATCCCTCCCTCTTGGGCGCAGGTGACTGACGATCATGACTTTAAAGAAGACTATCTCTTCTATCGCTTCTGCGTGGATGATCTGCAGGCACCAGATGCACTGGTGCGGCTGCTCGATACACCCAAAGGCGGGTTGTTCATGGGACACATTGATCACGGTCTACGCCTTGTATTGCCTTCCATCTCGGCTGCCTTCCGCCGTCTCACTACTGCCGCATCAAGCCGCGCTTCCATGCCCGATGTTGTTGTCCTTTCATCTGATCTCAAGGCCGGAGACGAAGCGGGCTTACGCGAGGTGCACATGAATATCGAAGGTGTACGAATCGACGAAAACTTTGTGCTGCATGGAGGCGTGGAAGAGCAAGTCCCAGAACCTCCACCCCGAAGTCTTGACTTTGAACAAGTCCTACGCAATGCCTACTCGATGCAGATGCGAGCCATCAAGAGCTTGCCGTGGTTTCACGACGTGTGTTCTCGCGAGGAGGCCGAACGTCGCCTCCAATCCTTTTCCTGTGAAGATGGCGCTTGGCTCATACGCTTAAGCGGCGAGGTATGTTCATGACTTGCAGCAAGTCCTTGCTCCTTCGTCATGATAGCCTCACTCTTGTGTGGCTCTAACGTTGACACATGGCAGTCACAACAAATCGTTTTGACCATCATGTACCGCAAGATGGCCTGGCATCTCAAGATTCAGGCCTGGGCTTGGCCTGAAAGCGAGCGACACGGCGTATGTCTGCTAGCCGCGCGTCATCTTTGCACAAACAGCAACTACAGCCCCGCTTTGCCTTCGAGTTTGTTTTTCTTTTTCTGCTTCTTGTTTTTGTTTTTGTTTGTCCGAGGGATGGCAAGGAGACATTGTCATTCTTGATGTTGATGTTGTGACAAAGGGGGCACACGCTGCAACACCACACATCGCAGCTTTGCACGCACAAGCAAGCACATCTTACAAGCTTGCTCTTGTCCGTTCCGTCATCTTAGGGTCAACCGGGCTATACCTTCAACGTAGACAACGGTCCACATTTCGGCAGTTTACCGGATTTGGTCGGCCATTACGAGCATTCGAGCGACCACATTCCCACTCGGCTGGGGAAGCCCTGCCCCAGACCCGGCACACAGTAAAATGGGCATTTTTCAATTTCAAACTGGCAGGATGTACGGCAAATGCAAAAAGGGTGGTTATATTTCAACAACCATCTTCTCTCAACTCCTTCCCCAGTGCGCATGTTAGAGCCGCATGACAAGCCTGCTCTGTCTGTGCAGACATTTGATGGAAGTGTAAAGCTGACCCTAATTTGAGTCACGTTTGACAAAAATGATCGTTTTGTGGAAGAGTTTGAGATCTCTCAAGCTTCAAGTACAAGGGTGACAGTGACGAGCTCGGATAGAAGACAGAACCAAGCCTAGATATAGGCCGGGCGCTTCTACTCGGTCATGAGTGTCAAGGCCCGCAAGCAATACTCGACAGCTGTCTTGACATCTTGATATTGCAGCGCGCTGTTGGCATATCTGAGCGCAGGCAGTGCGTGAGCATGGGTGGGAGGCACGAGAAAAAAAAAAAAGAACGGGTCAGGCCGGGCGTGCGCGCGCCAAGCGTCGCGTCGCAAAGCTTACTTAAAGGCCAATTTGGCTTGATCGATGTCGCGGGAGCTAATGTTGGTTTTGGTTCGAGCTGTGGCGGGCAGCCTGGGCTCAATATCCTGCGAATGGCGCCCACGTCCAGCGATCGCGCGTATACGGCATACAACATTAGGCAGAGGTCACACCGCACTCGGGCAAAGTGGGCGCTGAGCCTACCTCGAGCGAGGTGGCGCTGGACGCCGATGCTGTGCGCTGAGCAGAGCGATATGTGGTCTACACGCGAGACAGGATTTTGTTGAGAGGACGTGAGCCTGTTGGTAGCTTGGAGCATAGAGATGGAAGGTGAAACGTACGGCCTGCGGTGCCGGAGCTGGTGGTTGCACGCTAATGCCCGGGTTTTTAGGGACCGGGGGTGGGCTGCTGCTGGCTTGCGCACTGGGTATGTTCTCTGGCACAGCCGGCAAGTTGAAGAGGGGATCAAAGCCCTGGTGACCATCCGGGCCTGAGGGTTGCTGTGCTGGGGGAGACGGCAAGTTGGGTGCCGGGTACGCTATGGGCGCGGACAGACACGATGAATCAGCTCATACCAGCACGCCAGCTGGGGGGGGGGGGGGGGGGGGGGGAGGGGGAAGAACGCGCTAGCAGAGGAGGTTACTATGGTGCACGCAGCGAGGCAGCGCGCACCGGCGGAGGGGTCGGAAGGTGCTGGGGGGAAAGCAGCATTGTTTTCATAGCCCGATGTGTAGTCAGCGGGACCAGCGTGGGCAGCGGAGGGCCACTCCGGCTCTGAGCCACCGGCGGGAGGAAGGCCGGCATCATGGATGTTTGCAGTCAGGTCACTTTCAGTTGTCAAACCAATCGTGGGTGGGGCAATGTCTAGGCGGTCGGGCGTTCATAGTTGGACGTTGATATCAGCGGGGCACGGGCAAAGCAGACTGGCTGGTGTGAGATTTTAGGAGCGCCTGTGTACCGGTGCGCGGGTTGCCGTCTGCATCAATGGGACCCGGAGTAGGTTGACGCCCCTCACGCAAGCACTTGACAATGTGGGCAGCTTTAAGCTTGGCGTATTTGCGGGCCTCGGCCACCTATGTGTAAAACAATAAAGCATGAGCGAGGGACAATCGTAGTTCGGGTCGAGGGGAGCGGCGCGGCACGGCCAGGGCGACGACGAAGAAAGACGATCCGTTGGGAACGGGGGCCTACGCGGGCCCACGCGGGCTGGACAAACCTCCTCGAGGCCATTCTCAAATTCATCCATGATATCGTAGAGCGTGGATGCACGGTAGAACAGATCGGCAGTGTTGCTACAAAAGCACGGAAATGTTGCTGGGTGAGGCTACCTTGGCAACCAAGCGAAAGCAGAAAGGGAAAGACTGTTGGACCTCCTTCAGGCGGGCGTACCGGGTGCCTTCACCAGCCATATCAGCTCGATTGGCCTTGTCGAATAGACTGGTAGCTACGGTGGTAATGAGAAGCTATGCACGAGCGCCAGAGCCGATGGGTGAGGGATATGGCTAGCAGATTAAAGCTTTGGTAAGGAGGGGGGGGGGCAAAAGGGGATCCAACCTTGCCCTTTTCGCTGTTACGAATGCTTTCCTCGTCGGGCATGCTGGCCTTGAGCTACGAACCAGGGCAATTACCAAGGGGGAAAAAGAAAAGAAAAAAAAAGGACAGGGTGACTGTGAAGGAATGATGAATGAAAGAGTGGTGGTGGTGATGGCTGGGCACTCAAAGACCCCACAACATTTTTGGACGAGCAGGATTCAGGAAGAAGCACAGGGACAACCAACCTCTTCGACATGAGTCAAGAGACCACCCAGGTAGGGGCGGCAAGCAGGGTCTGTGCTGTGGTTCTTGATGGCGTTCTTGAGCACAAACAGGTAACCTGCGAGTAAGCAGGACACGCCAAGGAGGAGGCGTTTCGAGTGCACACGAGGGAAGGACGTGAGGTTAAGGGGTCGTCAAGTTGTCGGCATGCTGCAAGAGAACGCACAGTAGTAGGTCACCGCAGGCGTTCGGGCTTCAAACAAGGCAGCCGTCTTGATGAAGCGCTGCAGCACCAGACATCAGATACCGGGACAGCGGGATCAAGGTGAGATTGATTGGGCGCAACAAGACACGAAGCACAGCGCGGCACAACCAAACAGCGCCCCGCAGGGACTGATGCGCACCGACATGCCCTTCATGGCCTCGGGCAAGGGAGGTAGATCTGCCATGGTGTTCGGTGCTGCTGAGGCTCACTGAGGTTGTCCGAATGCAGCTTTGATTCGATTAATCCTCTGCGGATCAACAGGGCATCCCGCATCAGCACACACACGCCCCAGAGCGACACCACTGCACGCAACCAGCCAGGCAGGCAGCGAATGCACGGCGCTCCTCACCGCCAGCAGCGACGACGACGACGACGACNGAGAGAGAGAGAGAGAGAGAGAGAGAGAGAGAGAGAGAGAGAGAGAGAGAGAGAGAGAGAGAGAGAGAGAGAGAGAGAGAGAGAGAGAGAGAGAGAGAGAGAGAGAGAGAGAGAGAGAGAGAGAGAGAGAGAGAGAGAGAGAGAGAGAGAGAGAGAGAGAGAGAGAGA